ACTAGTCCAGTGCGATACTCCGACTCTGCCTGTAGTTACGTCAAGGTGTAACTATTCAGGAAAAACTGTAGCAAAAGGAAGTTTAAGTTACCAATCGGAAATAATAATAATAATAATAATAATAATAATAATAATAATAATAATAATAATAATAATAATAAGAAGAAGAAGAAGAAGAAAAAGAAGAAGAAAAAGAAAAAGAAGAAGAAGAAGAAGAAGAAAAAGAAGAAGAAAAAGAAGAAGAAGAAGAAAAAGAAGAAGAAAAAGAAAAAAAAAGAAAAAGAAGAAAAAGAAAAAGAAGAAAGTGGGGGATCAAAGGAACTCCATGACGGGTTTGCTATAGCAGCGTTTCGAAGTAACCATCGATATAAAGAAATCGACTGATCTGAGAACCGCTGAGGTTTTTGGCGAGACGGAAGGATTTGTGCTAGCTACTCAAAATCATGTAGTAACCAGTAATAACTACAGACGATATATCATTACAGAGAACATCAGTGACAAGTGTCGCCTGTGTGAGAAGCCCGCCGAATCTATTCAATACATCTGCAGTGGATGTTCTGATTTGGCCCATACATATTATTTACAACGTTACAATAATGTAGCCAAAATCATTCACCAAGCTCTTGCCAAAAGATCGGACTGATAAAGGAAAGCTTTCCTTTTGACAAATATCTACCAACATCTCAATAAATTCAAAAATTACATTTAACTTTTCAAATGGTTTACTACAACCTCCCTTATTTGACTACAATATATAAATAACACTTACTGTACCGATATTTTGTTTAAAAATTTCTAAAAAATTAATCAATTAAAACATGATGCTAGAGGTCCCTGTAAGGGTTTCCTCGAGTATGTATGTACATAAGTTAAACAGTCTCCAAATTCCGTAGTTATTTCCTTTCTCACATTTTATAGTCTCCTTAAGTTAATTATAAATTGGTTTTTACTGGAATTAGTTATAATTATGTACTCAGTACCTTGAAATATTCTGTCTATAATCGAACAAGGTTAATTTTTTTTAAATATCTACTGGATCAAGTTTTGTCTAATGACAGAACAAAAATCTTGTGGGATGCCACTGTTACTAATAAAACAATGGAAGCAAATAAGCCTGATATTGTCGTGTTCGACAAAACTACTCCTAGGTCAATAATAGACATCTCATACCTATTATATCATAATCTGTTGTCAGCAGTTGTAGAAAAGAAAATTCCAGCCACTCTCAATGAAACTGAATGACTTTTACACTAATAGAGGTAGATATTGTACCCGTAGTTATTTCAACTAATAGGCTTGTTGCTGAAGATTGCAAAATTGTGAAAGAGAAACTATCTAAATAAGTGGCACATCAGAACCATGCAGAAGGCCGTGTTGCTGCCAACCACCAATATTGTGCATAAGGTTCTCTTTCTTAGTCACTGAAGCGGAACCTGAGTGCATTGGAGCACGAACGTCCCACCATCTGTCTCACCATATGTGTTGACGTTCTGTCCTTGAGTTATATCTAGAAACTCCGGACGAGCGTGAAAAAAAAAAAAAGAATCTGCAATATAATTTTGCAATTTTAGGTATTTTAATTTAGAACAATGCCACAGTAGAACAAGCCATTTAGCCAAGTAGCCATTTAGAACAATGCCCTCATCAGAAATTTACTTCTGTGTAAGTTGGGGAAGTTTATAGCGCATTTAACATAACCTTCAAAAGATACTGTTACGTAACATCGCGAAATCCTACAACAACGTTTTGATATTTCGTAGTTTCGCTTCCTTCGTTTTTTAGTATTAAATCATGTTTGGGCAGCGGGTGTATTGTGAAAACAATTTGATTTTGACGCGCAAAAAAGGTATCCGATCAGATTAAAATCGTTCTCCTGCAAAAAGGCCATGTTTAAGGTTTGTCACTTTTCTTTGCAACTTAAAACGTCAACAAATTTGCAACTTCAATCGTCATGACCGTGAACTGACCGCACAACGTTTTCCTGAATGTGTTCTTTTGTGATGAGCTTTAGAGCCCTACCCCCATCCTAGGTGGTGCACAATTGATTGTGCGATGTAACACATTTTATTTGAAAGGGCACCTTGACTAAAGTTTTCGTTGACATCTTGCGCCTACTTTGAGGACTCTCTGTAGTCTACGAGTTTCGTGCATCAAGTAAAAATAATGAAAATCGAGACGAATCGGGACGCGTTGGACCGCAAAAACCGTAAGCGTAATGCGTGTGGCGAAGGAACTACGCTTCGGCCTCTTCGTTCGAGTAGTCTTAAAATACACATGATTGGAAGCTGCTACATCAGACACTTCTCCCGTCCATGAGTGGAATACGTCATATGGAGAATAAGAATTCTTTGTCTGTCGTTATTTTTGAACCAATATCAAGCAAACAATTAATACTGGAAATCCAATCATACGTGACAGTATTTATTTTGTATATGGTTTTGCGGTATTTGAGACAAATATATTTAATGGTGGTTGCGTTTTTCAAAACATAAATTATGAAAATATCAAAATTAATCGAATAAGCCTTGAAAATGGAAACGCATGTAAAGCACAGTTGCCAAGAAAAAATTACTAAAACTCCATAGCGATATTTTTAGTAAAGGTCACTTCTGATAGAAGAATATCACTAATATTTTTTAGCATTTCTCAATAGGATTGTAAGCAAGCATAACTACATGAACTTATGAATCGCCGCAATTCCTGTCTATTTTCATTGACTTCTCATATACTGATCAGCTAGGATGTTGTTAACCAATAAATAATTAAATATGTACGTTTTTAAAAACATTTAATTTTTTCGATATGTTCTTCCGATGGCTTAGCCATTATCATTTTATTATCATCTGCTGTGTGGAAGTTGAGAATAGAGTTCAATATAAAGATTGAAAATTTTGAAATTATGATGCGTCTACACATCTAATGGCGTTTATCGATTAAATAAAGTAGTTGGGAAACAGTCATTTTTAATAATTATCATCACAAACGACTCTAAAATAATAGGTATCAAGGCAACAGGTATCAAGGAAAAGGAACTTCTTGCAACCACGTTGACGCTCAGAGCTTGCATCAAACACTGTTCGTGGTAATTACTCTTCTACGAGTTTCCAATGCAGAGTACCACTCTGGTTGCGAGACGGTCGATCGATATCAAGCGAGAACATTAATCAATGAAAGCCAGTTCATACTATCACTAATTGACATGCACGACCAGCCCCAAAACTAGAGGTGTGGAGAGTTCAAATACGTTTTCCCCGTGCCAAGATTCGAACCCAGATCCATACGAGTCAACATGCAAAGCACTTTACTGCTTCACCGGAACTGTAGGCTTTCCCGACGCTTAAAAACTAGTGCTTCATGACGTTATATCCAACTTACGCGATTTTCGCAAATTCAGATCGTTCAACGAAAATGAGACCTGCGCCATTTTTGTTTCTTTGGTCTATCCAAGGAGAAAAAATTATAGATAAAATTTTGAACCATTTTTGAGGACAAATATAAATTACATTAACTTCAAGAAGAAATTACGTAAAAAATACTCGTTTTTCAAAAATAAATATACATGATCTTATTTCAAGATCTGTTTAAGAACAGAGATCCTTTAACAAAATTCTATCATCAATATAGCACTTTTTCAAGGTTAATTTGTGCAATTTTTGAGAAAACAGAGTGCGCCGAAAATGGATCTGTCGGCAATTTTTTATCGCCCATGGTTAGTTATGAGGTCAAAACTAAAAGAAAAAATTCGGGGCGGACTTTTAGATTATCAAAATCTACTCATATTTTTGAAAAATTTTACAAGACCTTATTCCAAGAGCTATATTTGATTAACGGCCTTCATTAAGGAAAAATATTGCATTTTGGAAAATGAAAAGTTGCAACGAAAATAAGTGTGCACCATTTATTTACGCGTCCTATACATTATCTGAAGACAACGTTTAATCAAAACATTTCGAGCAATTTTTGAGAAAATTTTTAGAACGGTGCTGAGGTTTCATGTAAACTATCCTTAAAAATCAAAATATCGTTTCACAACTTGCGAAGACGGTTCATCGATATCGAACGAGAATATTACTCAATGAAAACGAGTCTACGATCTCTTATTGACATTCACCACCAGCTCCGAAAGATGTTTGAAGAGTTCGATATCTTCAAGGAGCCCCACATGTTGAGGACAGCGACGGTGACGGAGACACGAACCACTATCAATACCAGCACACTCCCAACTCCCAACGTCGAGTGCAAACCGCGTACGAACAAAGTCGATATCGACACGATCATGTCGTCCGTGGCGTGCAACACTGGAACTACTAAAAAAAACACCAATAGGTCGTAGCCGTCATAACATTTCATAAATATTAACATGACGTCTACCAAATCTTTTGGGAATTGTTTCTTCATAAACCATCAATTATTAAGAGTGTGGTACTTGCATTCACGCGAGTGTGGTAGCAATAACTTTGAACACATCACAAAATAAAACTTTTCTAGTTATGGCAGCATTGCAGACCAGGAACGATATAATGAGTTTCAATACGCGCTCGACGCCATTCACCACAACTCCGAACTCCGTGACTGGAGCGTGACGTCACCCCTGCTAGGAGCATTCCGAGGTAGCGGACTGTGACTGCGGAGCCGATAGAACTGTCAATGCGCGAACACTACGAGACACCAACGTACTCTTATCTACCCTACTCCGACATCTCAAACACAATTTACAGTTGTTTTTTTACAATAAATAAATTAATTTAATTAAACAAATAAAATTATATGAATAAAAATAAGTTAAAATTAGATAAATAAAATAAAAATATCAATGAAATAGATAAATACAATAAAAAATCAATAAACGGAGATAAAAATAAGAAAACAACCTAAAAATAGATTAATAAAAATAAATTAAAAAATGAATAAATCAAATTTAAAAAAATAAAAAATATAATCGCTTGTTTACATTCACTACTCGGTTGCAACGTTGAGCGAGTCTGGAAGTGACGTCATACCTGCTAGGAGCATCCACAGGAAGAGGACGGCGAAGGCGGCGAGGGCGACGGCAGAGCCCCGCGCGAACCGGACCTCCATTGGC